TCTGGCCAGTTGATAGTTTGTTAGTTCATTTTGTTGTGGTTCTAAGAACTCTTCTGCTTCCTCCTCTTTAGCTTGGTCAGGTTTCTCAAATGCAATTTCAGTTTCAGGCTGCTAGGTAGTTTGTGCTTGTGCTTGAGGTGGGTTTAATTGATGGGTTGTGTGCTCCACCTCAATCTGAGTGGTACTGGTCTGTCTGGTAGTTTCTTCTGTGCTTTTGGTTGTTCCTTCATCAGGGTTAGTGCCTTTGCATGGGAATACTCCCTCATTAAACACAACATCCCTGCTCACCAAGATCCTGACCCCTGGTGACTCTCTGTCTCATAGCCTGTATCCTTTTGTGCCCTCAGGATATCCAAGGAACACACACCTAGTTGATCTTGGTTCCAGTTTTCCCCCCACTGTGTGAGCATATGCAGCACAACCAAACACTCTTAGGTACCCTAGTTCTGGTCTTCTCCCAGACCATCTTTCTTCTGGACTGATTAGACTTATTGCTGTGGAAGGACTCCTATTTATTAAATAGGCAGTTGTGGAGAGTGCTTCTCCCCAAAAAGTTTTTAGAAGGTTTGAGGTAATCAAGAGGCATCTTACTTTATCTAGAAGTGTTCTATTCATCCTCTCAACCACCCCATTTTGCTGAGGGGTATTTCTCACTATCCTATGCCTCAGGATCCCATGTTCACTACAAAACTTATCAAACTCCAGATTGCAGAACTCAAACCCATTGTCAGTCCTAAGGGCTTTCACCTTTCTGCCAGACTAGTTTTCAACAAGGGTTTTCTAGTCTCTAAACTTTGCTAAGGCTTGATCTTTTGACCTAAGTAGGAATACCCAGACCTTCCTGCTGTAGTCATCTACTATTGAGAGGAAATGGCTGTTTCCACCATGAGATTTAACCCTTTCTAGCCCCCATAAATCAGAATGTAGATAATCCAAACAATTGTTTGCTAAGTGAACTCCCTTAGGAAAACTGTTCCTACGATGTTTACCAAGTACATAATTTTCACAGAATTCTAGACTGGTAACAGTATCTTTCCCAAATTGTCCTAGCCTGTTCAGTACATCCATCCCCTTCTGACTCATATGACCTAACCTTAAGTGCCATATTTCAGTTACTGATAAATTTGGAGACCCAAGTGTTGTGCTGTTGCAGTCAGAATAAAAACTACCACAAAGTACATACATACCATTTTTCTTTTCTCTTGTCAACACAAGGTTCTCATTTTTATAGACATTCAACCAGCCACTGTTTGCCTTATAGCAGCAGCTTGCTTCATCTAGGGTGCCTAATGATATGAGGTTTCTTTTTAAGTCAGGTATATATCTGACTTTGGTCAACCTTATTAGTTTTCCCCCATTTAACCTAAGGGTTATGCAGCCAATCCCCTTAACCCTACATGCTTGGTTGTTCCCCATGTACACAGTCTCATGATCAGACTCCTCAAAGTCTTGGAACCAACTCCTATTAGGCCTCATATGGAAAGTACAACCTGAATCTAACACCCATTCTTTTGTAGTGTTAGATATTGACACTGTGAGGACTTCTGGTTCATCCATTTGGTTACTAGTGGTGGCTAGGTTGCTCTCTGTGTTACCTAGTTTCTGTTTCTTCTTCTAGTCAAAATAGTTTTTCTTTAGGTGGCCTGTCTTATTACAGTAGTAACATTTCCTGGTTTCTGTTTTGGCTTTGTTGTTCCTCTTCCATTTCTTCTTGTTCTTACCCCCCTGATTTGGCTGAAAAACTTTACTAGACTGAGTAGATTCTATTCTACCCTTCACAAACAGAGTGCTATTGTTCCTCTTAAGAGTTTTAAGCTCTAACTCTCTAGCTTTAAGACCCGTAACTATCAAATCAATGATAGGTACAGTACCAGAGTACTGAAGGGCATTTTTGACTACTTGGTAGTATTCAGTTAGGGAATTTAATAATATCATGGCAAGATTAGTTCGTCCTAATTCTTGGTCTGTGCCCTTTAAGATTAGATTCATCTTAAGGAATTCATCTAAGTTTTCCTCTATGGACTTTGAATTATCCATCTTATAAGAGAATAAGGCTCCCTTTAAGAAAGCCAAATTCGGTGCAGACTGTAAGGCATATAAAGATTCTAATTTACCCCATAAACCAAGAGTAGTTTCGAATCCATCTACCTTTCGAAGGACACAATCCGAAAGATTCATCACGATCAGGTTATAAGCTTCTTCGTCAATCTCTTCCTTCTTCTCCAGTTTCTCCTCTGACCATTTCTTGGGATCCTTTTCCAGTGTAATTGCAACCTTGTTGTGTCAGAGAAAAGCCTTCTTCCAGCTCCCGAAGTCGATCTTCCCATCGTATTGGGAGATCTCCATATGGGTAGTGCTCATTTTTTCCTGTAATGGCAGGGAAGGACAGTCTAAAGTGTACGTGGCGTTGTTACACCAGAAGTTGTCAATTACTGCCAGGCAGTTTTTAAGGCGGTCACTGGTTTTCTAGCCAATATACCCTTACACTTTATCAAGATTTGACTCTCTAGAACCAATTCTAGACTCAAAGAAATAATCAATTCAAAAAACCCCAATTCTCGAAACCCTAATTTTGTGAAACCCTAATTTTTTTATTTTTTATTTTTCAAAAAATTCCCAAATTCACAAAACCCTGATTTCGTAAAAAACTTCTTATACCGAAACAACGACAAAGAAGGTGAGTCTAAGGTGTACGAGGCGTTGTTACACCAGAAGTTGCCAATTACTGCTAGGCAGTTTTTAAGGCGGTCACTGGTTTTCCAGCCAATATACCCTTACACTCGATCAAGATTTAACTCTCTGGACTTAATTTGGAGACTCACAGGAATTGATTTGATAAAACCCCCAATTTCTCAAAAGAACCCTAATTTTTACGAAACCCTAATTTTGTAAAAACGAACTTCAACTTCAAGAAATGGCTCTGATACCACTGTTATAATAGAAACTTAATACTGATCTATACTCCAACACAAATCAATCACACGAAGAAATAAGAAAACACAACAAGAACAAACACACAAACAAGCCACGATTTACCGTGGTTCACTTATCCTTTTATGGATAAGCTACATCCACGTTGAGCTCAAGAACGGTATGAGCTCGCTGCACTTCGATTATCAGAAACAGTCAAGATTACACAGATTCAACACTCACCAGATCTACCCAATTACAAACTGCAACCAGCCTTACATGATACTCTATGAATATCCCTAACCTGAGAGAACAACACTCTCACCTGAATGATTAAACTCCCTAATCACTCGACTGATTTAACTCACAATTTGGAGAAATAATCTCAACCCTAACACAGAGAAGTGCAAACCCAGAAAACCCTAAAATATGTCGGTTGTTTTCTAATATGAACGAAAGAGTGTTTATATATGGTTTGACTTCGTGGTTGATCCTGGCCGTTAGATCTGGAGTGCATCCTGCGGTCTAAATTTGTCCCGGTCAATATGCCTAAAACGACGTCGTATTCTTGTTGCTCAAAACGACGCTGTTTCAGGCTTCCACATTTAACAATAGTTTAATATATGAAATTGATTAATAAAATATTATTATTTATATAGTTAAAATAAAAATTAAAAACTGAAAAGTATATAAAATTATTCAAAGGGTGTTTATAAATTTTATAAGGTATTTTTTGGGTGTATTTGTTATTTTCTGAAACATTTAGGTGTCTCGTACTTTTCTCAAACATTGTGGAGAAAATTGTTATATGATAGTTGGACGCAAAATTATTGGGAAGGGATTGTCTGCAGAGAATTTACAGCATTCAAAGCATAACACCAATGAAAAAATGCCACGTTTCCACAAAGAAAATAAAATTCCCATTGCTGGTCTTTAAACCCTGGACATGGTTAAATTTCGTGGTAACGTAGGTTTTTAAAATTGAGTTAACGACATCTTCCCAACCAAAAAAAGTTCTATTGACACTTTCTCACCCTCAAACTTTTAAAAGACCCTCTTATTACCCAAACAATATGATTTTCTCTTATTTGGGTGGGAAATATAGTGATTTATGAAAAAACCCTCTTCTTAGCCTCTTCCCTTGCCGACAATTGCCGCCAACATTGGGGAGTGCCAACAACAAGAAAATATTGCAAACAAACATTTCTCAATTGTCTTTCAACCTAGCAAACACAAAAATTGAACGAATCAATCGCAATTAATCAAATTAAAACTCGAAAAACCCTAGGGCAGAGGAGCTTCAATCCTCGACGATTGGAGAGCAAACGAGATCTAGGATGTTGGGGCTTTTGGAGAGAAAGATTCAAGGAATCGATTGGCAATGATAGGGATGATTTTCGGTATCGGAAACGATCGGAAATTGGCTTAGAAGTCAAAAGGTCACGGGATGCACGACTGACAATTGGTGAGCAAGGGATGGTGATAGAGGTAAGGGTTATGTAGAGTGGCTTGTGGGGAGTGTGATGGTGATGTCTAGGGGAATTTATGGCAAGGAAATCGACCAGAAATCCGACTTGAAGAGTCAGCCGTGCAAATGGAGGTGGTGGTGGGAAATGGTGAGTGATGACGACAAATGGAGGCTTGGGTTTTGTAGAGGAGGTGATGGGGATTCTCTGGGTGGTGTCGGAAGTGATTTTAAACGTCAGGATTGGCCAAAAAATGGCAAAAACCCATCGAATCTAACGTGGCTAACGTGTGCAATCTTCTACTAACGTGCATTGTTCTTCTCCGATAGCCACTATTTGGTGACCATTCTACCCTCATTAATTATGAGCTTTTGACCATTTTGCCCTTTTTGACAATAAAAATTACTAATAAAATTATGTTTTGGGTACTGAAATAGTATTTAAAATGTGGGTGGGTATGATTTGTATTTTTTGGGTGGAAACATGTCGTTAACTCTTTTAAAATTCACTGTTGATGTTTTTTCATGACGGTTTATCACTAGCCAATCAAAATGGAACATGTCACCATATAATTAAAATATCATCCATCTGAGCCCTACTCCCATTAAAACATTGACATACCGAATCATAACTCTCGGAATAAGTTGTACAATTCTTTTAAAATACATACACGGCCAAGTAACTTTATCTTTCTCTCTGCCAAAAAACCCTAATTTCACTCGAACCAAATCCATCTTCGTGCGTCTTAATTTTCAAGAAGAGAGTTAATCCCTGTTATTTTTGTGGAATATTGCGGTAATGGCGGCAGCCACAGCGATGCAAACGAGCCGCGGTGGCGGTTTGAGGAGGGGAGCCGGCGGAATGGAGGAAGACAAGATGGTATTTGAAACGACGGAAGGAGTGGAGGCAATCACGAGTTTCGATGGGATGGGAATAAAGGACGATCTGTTGCGTGGAATTTATCAGTATGGATTCGAGAAGCCGTCGGCCATACAACAGAGGGCCGTCATGCCTATAATCAAGGGCAGAGATGTAATTGCACAGGCCCAGTCTGGTACAGGCAAGACCTCTATGATTGCCCTCACTGTTTGCCAGATGGTCGACACTGCTTCCAGAGAGTACGTTTTCTACAAACCCTAATTTTCGTTTCTTTTTTAATTTTTCAACTTTTTTGTTTAATTTTAATTCCTTGAAATTGTTGGCTTAACTTTCAGAACCCTTAGTAGTGAATAATAATGATCAATAATATGATTATAGGGTACAGGCTTTGATTTTGTCACCTACAAGGGAATTGGCATCTCAGACGGAGAAAGTGATACTGGCAATTGGGGATTTTATAAATATACAAGCCCATGCTTGCATTGGAGGCAAAAGTGTTGGTGAAGATATTAGAAAGCTAGAGAATGGAGTCCATATTGTATCTGGAACTCCGGGCAGAGTCTGTGATATGATCAAGAGGAGGACATTGCGTACTAGAGCTATTAAATTATTAGTCCTTGTGAGCTAATTTATTCTTACCGTTTCTGTGGCATTTACTTTTATAGTAGATGGGTCCAGTACTAATATTTTTTGACATGTTGTTAGGATGAATCTGATGAGATGTTGAGCAGAGGGTTCAAGGATCAAATTTATGATGTGTACCGATATCTTCCACCAGACCTTCAGGTTTGCTTTCTGTCTTTATGGTTTGGGTGGGTTTTATATTAACATAATGAGAGGATGAAACATGAGAAGATGAAAAGAGATAACAATCTGAAAATGTAGTCTACAATGAGTTTCTTGTTTCTTAATTTAGTTTTCATGCTTTATCATCTGTCACTACATATTTCATCTGACTGTCTGATTGTTCATTTTAATCTCTAGAATAGCTGATAGTAATGCTTAGGTGTGACAAGTTGTAGCAAAGGCATTCTAAATCTTTGAATATGTTATTGTAGGTTGTCTTGATATCTGCTACCCTTCCTCATGAAATCTTGGAGATGACAACCAAGTTTATGACCGATCCTGTAAAGATTCTTGTGAAGCGTGATGAGTTGACTTTGGAGGTAAATGATTGTTCTACTCTAGGTTTGTTGCCTCTGTATGTAAATCTAGATCCTTAGACAAGTTCTCCATCCATTTTGTATTTTTTGTGATAACAGGGAATCAAGCAATTTTTTGTGGCAGTGGAAAGAGAGGAGTGGAAGTTTGACACACTATGCGATCTCTATGATACCCTTACAATTACACAAGCTGTTATTTTCTGCAACACAAAGCGAAAGGTATTATTTGGCTAGTGGTTTTAAATCTGAACAGGAAACGAACTTTTAGGTATCTAATTTCACTCGGAATGGTGAGATTAAATATGAAAATGTTGATGTGTTATCCTTTTAAAAGGAGCTTCTAAGTTTTGTTTTCTCCCGTTAAAATAACTATTGGACCCATGGCTTCAGTGGGAAAAACATTTAGTTAACAGTAGTAAATAGCTATGTAGCAAGCAATGGTGTGATATATATGTAATGATAGTTTGTGTGAACAGTTGGATTCAATGTCTTCAAAAATAACATACATTCTCAATGTTGAATGAACATGCATTTTGGACTGGATTGACTGGTGGGGATTAGGAGAAACATTCTCCCATATATTTTTTTCTCCTTAAAGTTTTCCTTAGCATTAGTTGAGACAAATGAACTAATTGAGTTACTGGATTCATATAGTATTCACTTTCAACACTCATTACCGGATTTTGAATTCTTATATTATGATCTTTGGATATATTGTATAACCATTTCATATTTTCTAATCAGGTGGATTGGCTAACAGAGAAGATGCGTGGCTACAACTTTACTGTCTCATCAATGCATGGAGACATGCCTCAGAAAGAAAGAGATGCAATTATGGCAGAATTTCGTTCTGGTACAACCCGTGTCCTTATTACAACAGATGTGTGGGCTCGAGGACTTGATGTTCAACAGGCAAGTCCTTCTGTTATTTATTTTTAATGTTCTAATCCTTTTGTATGTGTTTCACTGTGAATGTATTAGGAAAAAATATATTTTTGCTCTTTTTATTCATCTTAAATCATTTTCTTCAGGTTTCTCTTGTGATAAATTATGACCTTCCAAATAATCGTGAGCTCTATATCCACCGTATCGGACGGTCTGGTCGTTTTGGACGCAAGGTATTCACTTATTATTATTATACTGGAATACTCAGCCTTATTATAGGTGCAGGTTGACTGTTGTTTCTTTGCCCTGACAAATACTGAAATTCTAACATACTTTTTATTTTTTCAACTTTCTGATCATATTTATTTGAGTTCTTTCACAATGCATGCAAGAAAGTTGTTATGCATAAACCCTCTGAAAACTTTTGTCGGTATAGAAATTGGTATTTTGGAAAAGCTTATTCACTCCCAAGTAAATTATTTTAATTTCAATGGATAAAAGTTTACACAGTTTCTTAACCCAAAAAAAAAAAAAAAAGGGATAGGTCTCTACATTATAGATTTATCATGAGGTGAATTAAGTTTATCACTAGATGCATAAGTTCATTATCGTATGCATCATGTCCATGATAAATTTGTCTCACCTGTTTTGCATGATTGCCCTGTGTTAACTTAGTTGAATTGTGTATTGTCACTAAAACGGGATTTTTTATGGTTTACAGGGTGTAGCTATAAATTTTGTGAAAAACGATGATATCAAGATTCTCAGAGATATTGAGCAGTATTACAGTACTCAGATCGATGAGATGCCGATGAATGTTGCTGATCTGATTTAAAGAGATGTTTATTATTTCGGTTGGCTGAAGGGAAATGATGGGAGTGATGCATATAATTGTGTGATGGATTTTTCTGGGTGGTTGCATTGTGTTTTTTCTGATGATGAGGTTGTACCACTTTCCCCAAAAATGCTGGATGGTGTTTAACGACTTTACAAATGGTTTTGGTGACATGAAACTTACAACTAGACTGTTAACTTTCTTTCTGTTGATAAGGTTAAGTGATTTAGATTTATTGCACCTTTGCAAATTTTAAATCAAATTTTTAAGTGTGATGAATGGATTGTGAATTGATGTTAGCATTCTGGAGTTTTACTTTATCACTTAGCCCCTTACGCCACCAGCCCAGCCTTACTGAATTGATACTTCATGGTTAAAGAAGATAAATATTTGTACTTCTCGAATGGTATTTCAAATTTCTCTCTGAAATAAATATGTTGTCTTATCTGGTTTTGATACTTAAGAGAAGGGATAAATGATATGTCAACTCAATTGGCCAATTAGAGTATTGCTATGTCGTTTGAATTATGGTCTCTCATCTTATGAATCTCAGATGGCTTGAATGTTTCCTGTTCCTGGTTTCTGTATTATATCTTTATTGTTTGTCTTTATGATTTGTACACGACAGCATCAAAAACTCTGCATGAAACGTCTAGACCTTGAGCCAAAAACAATTTATTGAATTTACACACTTGTCATCTAGCGAATTTGGTTTACAGTAACATCGATGGAAGCTTTTTTTTTTTTTTTTTTTTGTTTTTTTTGATATTGTGCTAAGGTATGAGTCGTATGACATTGAGATAAAGATAGTCCTATTCCTACACCATCTTTCAAACTGAGAGACAAACCTGTATTTTGCATAGTCAGCCCCTAGAAAACCCACCAAAACAGGAATTCTACGCAAGCTATGAACATTGCAACGTCAATGACTGCAAATAAGAAAACTCGTGATACGTCCTATTCTATTGTCTACAAAGAAAACAAGAAATTACAACCAGATAAAGGAGAAAATTCCAAACCTTGACTGGCAAAGCTGCTGCAGAAAATATTTCTTCAATTTTTTTACAGTATAGAAAATTATTATAAAATATTGAGAAATAAAAATTACAAGGACTCTAAAACTTCGTTTTGAATCCCAATTTATTTTTATAACTTTTTAAGTATGTAATTTAATTAAGTAAATTTAAGTTTACTTATTTTTAGTTTATTGTATAAAATCAAAAAATAGATTAATATTCTATATTTATATTATTATAGTTTAATATATGAAATTGATTATAAAAATATTATTATTTATATAGTTAAAATAAAAATTAAAAACAAAAATAGATATAATTATTCAAAGGGTGTTTATAAATTTTATAAGGTATTTTTTGGGTGTATTGTTATTTTCCGAAACTTTTAGGTGTCTCACTTTCTTAAACATTGTGGAGAAATATTTATACGCAAATTATTAGGTAGATTGTGTGCAGAGAATTTATAGTACTCAAAACATAAAACCAATAAAAAAATGCCACGTTTCCAAAAAGAATAAAATTCCCATTACGGGTCTTTAAACCCTGGATATGTTAAATCTCGTGGCCACGTAGGTTTTTAAAAATGAGTTAACGACACTTCCCACGCAAAAAAAGTTCCTTACTTTCCCACCCTCAAGCTTTAAAACACCCTCTTACTACCCAAATAATATGTTTTCCTCTATTGGGTGGGAAATATAGTGATTTACAAAAAACCCTCTTCTTAGCCTCTTCCCTTGCCGACAATTGCCGCGACATTGGGAGTGCGACGACAAGAAAATATTACAAATAAACATTTCTAATTATCTTTCAACCCAAGAAACACAAAATCGAACGAAATCACAATTATCAAATTAAACGAAAAACCCTAGGGTGGAGGAGCTTCAATCGCCTACGATTGGTGAGCAAACGAGATCTGGGTGTTGGAACTTTTGGAGAGGAAGATCTAAGGAATCGATTGGTGGTGGTAGGGATATTTTGGCATCGGAAACGATCATAATCGCTTAGAAGTCAAGGTCGCGTGGTGCACAGCCGACGATCGATGAGCAAGGGACATGATGAGTTAGGGTTATTGAGAGTGGGTTGTGCGAGTGTGATGGTGGTGTCTGGGAATTTATGGCAAGGAAATCGACCAGAAATCCGACTTGAAGAGTCGACCATGCATGGAGGTATGGTGATGATGACGACAAAGGGGGGTTGGGTTTTGTAGAGAGGTGATGGGGATTCTCTGGGTGGTGTCAGAAAGTGATTTGAATGTCGGGATCGACCATAAAATGGCAAAAACCAACCGAATCTAACGTGGCTAACGTGAGCCATCTTGCTAACGTGCACGTTCTTCTCTGATAGCCACTTTGGTGACATTCTGCCCTCATGAATTGTGGGCTTTTGACCATTTTGCCCTTCTTAACAACAAAAATTACTAAAAATTAGTTTTTGGATACTGAAATAGTATTTAAAATGTGGGTGGGAATGGTATTGTTTGGGTGGACAGCGTTAACTCTTTAAAATTTACTGTTGATGTTTTTTCATGACGGTTTATCACAGCCAATCAAAATGAACATGTCACCATATATTAAAATATCATCCATCTGAGCCCTACTTCCATTAAAACATTGACATACCGAATCATAACTCTCGGAATAAGTTGTACAATTCTTTTAAAATACATACACGGCCATAACTTTCTTTCTCTCTGCCATAAAACCCTAATTTGACTCGAACCAAATCCATCTTCGTGCGTCTTAATTTTCAAGAAGATAGTCAATCCCTGTTATTTTTGTGGAATATTGCGGTAATGGCGGCAGCCACAGCGATGCAAACGACCGCGTGGCGGTTTGAGGAGGGGAGCCGCGGAATGGAGGAAGACAAGATGGTGTTTGAAACGACGGAAGGAGTGGAGGCAATCACGAGTTTCGATGGAGGGGAATAAAGGACGATCTGTTGCGTGGAATTATCAGTATGGATTCGAGAAGCCCTCGGCCATACAACAGAGGGCCGTCATGCCTATAATCAAGGCAGAGATGTAATTGCACAGGCCCAGTCTGGTAGGCAAGACCTCTATGTTGCCCTCCTGTTTCCAGGGTCGACACGGCTTCCAGAGAGTACGTTACAAACCCTAATTTTTGTTTCTTTTTTATTTTTCAACTTTTTTGTTTAATTTTAATTCCTTGAATTGTTGGCTTAACTTTCAGAACCCTTAGTAGTGATAATATGATCAATAATATGATTATAGGGTACAGGCTTTGATTTTGTCACCTACAAGGGAATTGCATTCAGACGGAGAAGTGATACTGGCAATTGGGGATTTTATAATATACAAGCCCTGCTTGCATTGGAGGCAAAAGTGTTGGTGAAGATATTAGAAAGCTAGAGAATGGAGTCCATATTGTATCTGGAACTCCGGGCAGAGTCTGTGATATATCAAGAGAGGACATTGCGACTAAGCTATTAAATTATTAGTCCTTGAGTAATTTATTCTTACCGTTTCTGTGCATTTACTTTTATAGTAGATGGGTCCAGTACTAATATTTTTTGACATGTTGTTAGGATGAATCTGATGAATGTTGAGGCAGGGTTCAAGGATCAAATTATGATGTGTACCGATATCTTCCACCAGACCTTCAGTTTGCTTTCTGTCTTTATGGTTTGGGTGGTTTTTATATTAACATAATGAGAAGATGAAAAGAGATACAATCTGAAAATGTAGTCTACAATGAGTTTCTTGTTTCTTAATTTAGTTTTCATGCTTTATCATCTGTCACTACATATGAATCTAACTGTCTGATTGTTCATTTTATCTCTAAATAGCTGATAGTAATGCTTAGGTGGTGACAAGTTGTAGCAACGGCATTCAAATCTTTGAATATGTTATTTTAGGTTGTCTTGATATCTGCTACCCTTCCTCATGAAATCTTGGAGATGACAACCAAGTTTATGACCGATCCTGTAAAGATTCTTGTGAAGCGTGATGATTGACTTTGGAGGTACTGATTGTTCTACTCTTATTTGTTGGAGTGAAGAAAGATTCTTGATGGTGTGCAAACTGCAAACTGTAATCTGCAGTTTGCAAAATTACAGACTGTAGTTTGCAAATTACAGTCTGCAATTTTGCAGTTGGCATTTTTGCAAACTATAATCTGCATTTTGCAAACTGCAGTTTGTAATTTTATGGACTGCAGTTTGCATACTACGATCTGTAAAATTGTAGATTGCAGATTGTAGTTTGCAAAAATGTCAACTGCAAAATTGTAGGCTGCAATTTGCAAACTGTAAAATTGTAGTTGGCATTTTTGCACTGGTGATTGTGAAGTTGAATATTTAAACATGTTCTTTTAAACTTGCATGGTGCCATTTTTTTAAAACTACTGATTGTGAAGTTGAAGATTTAAACATGTTCTTTTCCTCTTTCTTTTGCATTAAATATTTGGGGTGTTTTTGTCTGAATCTTTTCTTGAATTTACAATATATGTGTATTGTCATCTTTGACAATATACATGGGAATTGAAGATTTTTTTTTTTTTGTATTAATGGTTTTGTAGGTTGTGAAAAATGCAAGAGTACTTTTTTGGTAAAGCACAATTTGGAATGGAAGATGGTATGCATGATGTTTTTTGTTGTTAGAATTTTTTGAATGATTTGAAGGTATTAACTATTGCTCATAGTTAATTTTCCAATCATCTAGGTATTATAATGTAAAAATGATAGGTGCATATTTGTTAGGCATATATAAAACTTTTTGTATATGAAGGTTTATATGTTACAAAATGTGATATGATATATGAAACATATTAGATTTTATGGATGTAAAGGATGTTGGGTGCCTATTTAATAGGCATATATGCAAACTTTTTGTATATGAAGGTTCACCATCAATGAAATGTTCTTTGGAAAATTAGTATATCATTATTTATAATTTGTATTATTCAAATAACAACTATAACAGTTTTATATATGCTATAACAGACACATTGATAACACTTTCAAAATGTTATGCAAAATAATTTTGCAACATTTACTAAATGCAATGAATGATACTTTGGTAGCACTTTTAACATGTTATTAAAAACTCTTTTATAGCATTTTAACAATGTTACAGAAAATTAAACTATAACAGGTTAAGAATGTTACAAAAAACTTATTTACAGCCTTTTGAGATGTTATAGAAAACTGAACTGTCACAGTTTAAGAAAGTTACAGAAAACTTATTTATAGCATTTTCAGAATGTTACAGAAAACTAAATTGTAACATGTTAAGAAAGTTATAGAAAACTTATTTA